AATAAAAGACGAAATCACTGTCAATTTGGGGACGACCTATGTGCGGTGACTCTTCATGAAAGTTCAAGTTTCTGAGGGCGTCAGACTTTTTTGCCCTTTTGGTATAGTCCATGGCGCTGACAGCGGATGGCTCTAAAAGATTCCAAACAATGGATCCTCAGTAAGAAATAGAGTTTTTCATATAATACGTTTCAAAACGTTGTACGCTAACACGATGTTGATGACGGAGGTCATACTTAGAGTCTTTCCTTTGGATTATATGTTCCAAGCATGATGGAGTTATGCGGTTGCATATATTATAAATTAAAGTGGCTATTTTGACCTTATAAGTGTCGAATAAAGAGTCCCAGTTAGCTGTTTTTCTTACATCCTCAGAAAGCATGTCGCGCGGGAGGTTATATATAACTCTAGCAGCCTTACAATGTATGGATAAAATATTTTAGGTTTCCTAATTAGGTTTCCTAATTTGTCTACAAAACATAGCTTAACCTGGGGAGTGAAATGAGAAAAAATTAAACTTCTGAAAATTTTAGGGAATTTATTAGATAAGCTTTGAAAATTGTACATGAATGGAATGGTGATATAGAAGCCTTCCTCAAGCTATAGAAGATTCTAGACAATTGTGCTTCTCCGAACAGATATTTTACAGAAAACAGTCGTTGAACTGAAAATCTTTCTTCCTCGCTACAAAGTGTACTGAGTGACTTGGCCGAGTCCTAAAAAATGAAATACATCTGGCGAACATTTAATTCTATTCTCACTTCAGGGTCAATCCGGTAGATTATAATAGACGACACCACTGAAGTAAAGTTTAGAAAGGACTAGAGCTTATACAAGAGTTTTCCTGATGTTGAAAGGTAAGCCATTTGAGCTTGGTGATGTCATCCGTGCTCCCAAAATGTCCCAAAACCGGGGCGGATCCGGGATTTTTTTAGGAGGGAATATTAGTTGTATTAGGAAACCACAGGTCATCTCAGCGGGGGGAGGAAGAGGGGGTACGCACCCCCTGCACCCTCCCCGTAGATCCGCCCCTGCAAAACGAAACTTGCTGAAAGCTCAAGCTTTCTGTGGTCTTCGAAGACGATTAGCCAGATAATCTGGTAGATTGATATTATGAGAGACGATACCACTGAAGTAAAGTTTCAGCTGAAAGATGGTGTTGTCCACACTTGGTCAGGAGCGTTGAGTACCTGATGTCCACCGATATGTGACTGTGTACGGACAGGAAAAAAGCTTAACCTATAATTTTTGGTTTGAGAATGTGATGGAGGGAGGAATCAGGAAAAGTTGTCACCTCTCGTAAAGCTTTATAAAATTGCATCTAAAATTTTCGGGAAAATAATACTGTAGCCTGCGTTGCAGCCCGTTAATGCACTCGTCTAAACCATTTAAAGAAGGTTAGAGCGTCTGCGACGCAGGCAAATAATACTGACGTCCTTGTAAATCCAACAATCAATCAAGCTTTTAATATTTACGGTATCGGCTTCATCAAAAATGCTGTCCCAGTGAGCCGTTTCATAACAAAATTTTCCGAGAAACTACACTAATGAAAACCTCGTTCCCAGGGTTCTCTCCTTGACTCCACTAATGCTAAAAATATATCTATATATTAAGAAACCTATCCTATAATTAATTACACAAAAATCAATCAAGTGTACATTAAATAACTAAAATAGGTTCTATCTCAACTCCCTCAATGCAATCCCTGGTTCAAGGCAAAGAAAGTGCTAGCCTGCATCGAGCAAGCGTTTCCGTTTGGTTTCGGAGCAAAAAGAGACCGTGGAAGGGGATTTTCGGTGACTCTTGTTCCTCGTTCTTTGCTCCTAAACCGCACGGAAACGCTTGCTACGCAGGCTAAGAAAGGGCAGACTTGTAACAGTTGAGATTTATCTCGTCTTTAAGCACATTTTCTAGGCCATTCCACATGACTCCCCCCCTATAGCTAAGAACCCGCTGGGCAGCTTAAGTAAAGGGCCTTGGTACAAAAACATTGTTCGAGGCACCTCATACGTTGTAGGAATGAACCCCGGAGGTTGGTTTAAACAGGTTCTTTAAACTCTCAGGGTAAAGGTTATTTAGAGATTTAAAAACAGTCTTATTGCGAGCTGTTTAGAGCGTCTTTGCTCAAGGGTATCGCATCCCAAGTCTTGGAGGATATCTGCAAATCTTGTATTATAATCACTAAATGTTATAATTCCCCCCAGCCCTAGCCTGCGTAGCAGGCGCTAGGAAATAAATGGGCTCAAGAAAGAACGGGCCGGCGCTCGAGGGAAACTGAGTAATAAGAGAAATACGACGAATACAGTTCCCAGTAGAAGAGGAACAACTATATACTGAATGCGGGGCAAGATAAAAGAATTTCTGTTTATCAAACTTACTTTGTATTTGTCCCTCTCTTTTCGAAACCTATTTTAACAAGGCAAATTCAGTATTACCTACGAAAAACTCTCAAGAGGTTTTTAGCTTCGCAGGTTTCCGTTTTGGGAAGAAATAAAGCCAGGAACGCCAGTACTTTTAACCGTCCATTTCTCAGCTGCACTGAAAGGCCTTGTACTTGGTGATTTATTCAAGGGTTTTAGACTTGACATCACATTTGCGCATGGGAAGTTTGCCACTTGGGGATAAAGATGACGAAAATATGACAATCGTCTTATTCTTTTCATCATCCTCAATGGCAAATTACCCGTGCGAATGTGTTGGCAAATCTTTCAAACTTGAATAAATTATCTAATACAAGGGTTGTCGTTGCAGCTGAAAATGGTCGGTTGAAGTATTGGGGTTGGTGGCTTTATTTCTCCCCAAGACGGGAACCTTTAGTGCTGAAAACTGGTAGGAGATTTCCGTAGATGTTATATCGTACTATGTTGAGATTTTTTGCGAACAGAGAAGAGAAAATACACAGTAACGTTGATAAATAGAAGTTGTTGTATTCGCCGTAGGTTTCTGATAACTCAATCTCTTGTAACTGAAGCTTTGGGCAAGAATACCCTCGCAGATAGGAGATAGTCCGTCGGCTTTTCCTCTGTTTGTGTGTCAACTTTCACAAATGTGTTAGCGTTGCATTTAAAGGTTAAATTTGACCAGCTATTTGTGCAGCGAGTTCTACGGTCACGATTGACTTTAAACTTGCAGATATAAAACTAGAGAGCTCTGAGGCTTATTTACCGAAGTTAAAGAAACATTGGTCTAAGGGTTTTGAAATTATTGACATTTTTTTGTAAAAATGCGGTTTTAATTATATGCCGATATCTCAAACGTTTTTATACCTATAAGAAAATAAATAACATTTTCTTAAAGTTTGAGCATTCTTTATTAAGAATGCCAAAAATCACAGAAATCAGTTTAATCATCATTCCTGCCGAAAACCCGATTCAAAAATATAACCAACGCGCATATAAATTACCCTGGGTACCAGAGATTTTTTCTCGCTTGTGACGAGGAGCTTCGTCGGCCGCAGGCCGACACGTCTTCGGCCTTAGGCCGAAGACAACCGAAACCGGAAACCGCGCATGAAAAGTCTCTGGCACCCAGGGTACATATAAATAGGTTCAGGCCACACAAAAAGAGATAGTTCAATTTCTGAAAGCTTCCAGTATAAGAGGGTCTCAATGGGGTGGCGGCTTTTACGGCTATCGGCTAAAATTTTGGCTCTTTTACGGGTATCGGTTAATTTTAATCAGTTACGGTTAACAAGTAACAAAAGTAGGTTCAACAGCTACAGTGTCAGGAACAGTGTATTGATCATATCCCATATTACCTTTCGGGATTGTCGCTTGCACATTTTTTCTGACGACCTTTCTCGAAATATCTGTATACACACAACACACTAGCACGTATTACTGTAAAAATGAGAGCGAAAAAGTAGGATGGAAGTTACAAAGTACAAAATAATGACCAATATTAGTACATCAGTTTCTTGCTCTGAGAATCTAGTGTATTTACTGTAGATTTCAGGAACTTATTCTCCTTTTTGATTTCTTCTTTAGATTCCTTTTCGTGCTCAGTGACTTTCTTTAGAACTTGATCGTGTTTTTGGTTTGCATTTTCAATAAAAGATGTAAGCTTGGCAATCTCAACTTTTAAAGGAGCAAGCTTTTCGTCGAAAGTCGTTTGTAGTTCTTTCACAGTTATATGATTTGCAGACATATTAACACAAAAATGACAATTAGACAGACTTAGTCAAGCTAAGTTGAATAAATTTGGTTGAATACTGATAACCTGAAATCGATTTGATCTATGGCATTTACACACCCCATACACTTTATCAAAACTGTTTGGGCTTCTTTTCATAAACTGTTGTGCCATGACTATGCTGAAAACTTCCCCCTCCGGTTAAGAATAGCTCTTTCCCTGATGCAAGGAGAGCCATTTCAACAATGGCTACGGCTCCTTTGTCTTTAATTTTATAGAATTGCGGTTGTAAAAAGAACATATTGTCGAACAGTTCATTTAGATGCTTTAAGAGTAAAGAGGCTTTTCCACGTGCTTCTCTGGCCCATTTAGACTGCGAACCAAACTCTGTAAAATCTACAGCAACAAAAAGTTTATTGTAATTAGGATGACGCGCTCGAATGTTCTTAATCAGTGATGCCTGTTTCTTGATACAATTGACCAAAGTGGTAAAATTACCATTTGAACGTCTCAAAATCTTTTCCGTGCGAATGTGATGGGAAATGTAGTTTGAACCTAAAGTCTTATTCATGAAGTCATGAACAATTTCCAAAAGTTTCTCATTGAAAAATGCTACATGGTGCAGTGAAAGGGAAGAATGGATATCCATTGGAAGTGGAAAGAACGCTCGTTCTGGGACCTCCTGGTTTCCTCTCCACTCTTGGATCCCAACGCACTTACTTCCTTTGACCACTTTGTCGAGAAAAGATTCAACCGATCGAAGCATTCCAGAATCCACGCGAACAGTTTTCTATATATTAAAGCCAAATCTAGTTTGAAGACCGTGAATTTCCTTGGTTTGTTGACTGCGTGAAGCTTCTTCACCATAACTAAATTGTATCAGTAAGTCCAACTTGTCTCGGCAAACACTCTGAAATGTTTCCCAGCTCACTAGAAGTGCTGTATCCGTGTGAACGAAGCGTGTTGTTAAATGCGCTCAGATTGTAGTACAATGCTAGTGTTTGAGTGTCATCACTGCTCATTTTATAACCAAAAAACTTTGAATCATTTACAAAAGGTACAACAACTTGGTGCCCACTGTAGCTTGCTAAAGCCGTGAGGGCGATCAGATTGTTAGTCGCCATTGAAAGTTGTTCCCAATATTTAAATGCTGTGTAAAATTTCATGTTTCTGCTTTGTCTTGAGCTGTCGTCTTGTTGTGCAAAATTGCCTCCATTCAATGCCTCATTAATTTTTCTTGCAAAGTTAAATTGCCCTGCTTTTTGAGGTGGCTTCCACTGATAAACTATCACATGTAAAAGGGCTATGACAAATATCCCCATACACAAAGACTGAAACGCTCGCCGCGCGGAAAAATTCATCACGGTTTCCGTCGTTTATGCGTATTTTGTCACGTCAAAATACATATAGCTGTTTGCGCTCCTTATATCAGTAGTCATATCAGGCGTTTCCCACGATTATTCAAAAAATACACAAGTAGTAGTCTCGAGTAACCGCTACTTTAGTGGAATAAAACTCAAATCTCCATTGCGGCATTCATAATGAGCAGTAAATATTTCACGCTAATATCTCTGTATTCGCAAGATTGAAAGATCTTTGAAGGGATAAATGGCTGTGAACGCATGTACATTACAAGTTAAGGAAACTGTCAGAAATTTCATAACTACCTCGCGTGTAAATTAACTGCTCATTACGCATGCAGAAAGACAGATCGGCCAGTATAGATATGAGTCAGAATTCTGCAACTTCAAGAATAGTCTCCAACGCAGCCGTTTTTACGCGAAGATTCCAGTTTGCCTTGTCCCTAGGGCTCATAAAGCGTTTCGCGTCACGTGGTCCGAGGGAGTCTCTCCTATGGAGGATCTCTGAGGAAACAGAAATTTGTATCGGGCGTGAAAACGCAAGGAGGTTAAAATTAATTTGTGGTGAGCGTGGCTCGGTTTTTTTGAAGTGATTTTAGTGTATTTATCTGTGGTATGGTAGAATTGCGGGGGAACGAGCGCAGCAATTGCATTCCAGCTGATGATTTGTCACTACCCAGACCTGAGTAGTGCTTCTGATAGGTTAAAGAAAATTTCCCTCGCAGCACAACTAATCAGAAGCAATCTGCAGATCCACAGTATGCTATTTCAACCTCATTCCCAGGTTCTCTCTCTCATGGTATTTCTGAGCTTGTCCCTCAGACATCATTTCGCTGGGAACCAAGTGGTGGCGTCGCGAAATGTCGGCAATTTTTTCAGTCGACCTTAAACCCGAACTGCTCTTCTCATATTTTTTTTGTGGAAACAAACAGTTTTCACTGCTAAAAAGCTTGTTTCAAGTGGGAGGGGGTGGATGGAACCCCTCCCCGGAGTTTTTGATATGTTACAGTATTTCGAAAAGATTTTCTCTTGAGTGGAAAGTCTTAAGATGAGGTATATTTTACGGGTGGTGGCGCTGCTGAAGGCCTGTGACGTCACCAGGAATGGTCGCTATCTTGGATTTCACCATGAAGAATTAGAAATCAGGTTAAAACCGCGAGAAATGGTCATTTTTTTTGCTTTACATGAAAAATAACACATAAATAAGCACTTTGCATGTTTTTAGCCACAAGATTTACTTTTATTGTTGAAAGAAGTTGAAAAAACATGTATTTTCACCCAAAAAAGGCTTGACCGCCTGGTATTTATGACGTCATATCACGTAACCATAGCAACTGACCATCACTAAACTTGTCTCAAATTTAAAATGCGCGCCAGGGATGAACGAACAGCTACTGAAAACGTCAGGTGCTGATGTTTCATCCTCTAGGAAAAAACACAGAAAAACCCTGGGGGTGTGGCATCCACTGTTAATTGTCAGTGTTTTGTCACTCAATCCAAACTTATTTGCTCGTCTTCAAGTTAATTAGTAAGAAAAAAGATCAATAAATTGTTGTCAACGAAAGATTATGTGGGTGGCTGTTGTTAACGTAAATTAACAATTGAAAGGTATTTATGCTTAGATTTTGCAAATTCAGTGGAAGCTTTCCTGACGGACACTCTCGTAAGCTGCGGACAACACCAATTACGGACATTTTTTTCGTTTCCCGAGGGTGTCCGCTTACGAGAGCTTCCACGGTATAATTGTCTTCATAAAATTACGGACCGTTTCAGTCCTAACCTTTCACTCCGCAATATGAAGGAAAGTTTAGTTGACGTATAAGATATCAACCCTCTTTAGAGGGTCCGAATGGGGTTAACCGATTGGCGTGAAACGGCCAAAAATTTAGTCGATAGCCGTAAATATTAAAAAATTTTAACCATTAGCCGTAAATAGAGTAAAAAAGAGTGAACCGTAAAAGAAACAGTTCGCTAGATTTGCTACTTTTAAGAGAGGGGACACTTTTTCTGGGTCTTGGGACCCAAAAGTGTCCCTTTTCCCGGAAAAGAGGTGTCCCTTAAATAGAGGTAATAGATACAAATATTATCTGGGCGTTTTTCTAGGACCAAATTTTGTGTTCCCTGAATGGAGGTGTTCCTCGAATAGAGGTGTCCCAAAGGAGGGGTTCCACTGTAGGAGGAAACCATCGTTGGCTGCCCCTAACATATTTTCGTTGTAGTCATCTTTCGCTTATATCATTTTTTATTTTGTGTTTGTCTTTGTTGTTTTGTCGGGGTTGTCGTCTCTGTTTTGGTTTTGTTGTTGTTGTTGTTATTGTTTTGGGTGGATTCATTTGTAGCAAATGCACCATAGACATCGTAATAAGCCATTTCCGAGTTCAAAAGTTCTCACTTTTCAAAACCAAGCTTCGAGCAAAAATCTCTCTTGAGAAAATGATCATGAGTTTTATTAACGTGGGATAAAAAAAGAATTTTTATATCAATGGCTTCGCACTTAGCCTCTATTTAAAACAAGTTAGGGCAACTCTGAAATTGCCTGTTCCCCTCTGGAATCTGTACAGGGAGCCCAGGCTAACAAACGGTTAAAATGCACATAGGTGTACAATGCTCATAAAGGGACATCTCTGTGTTGTTTTCTTACCGTTTGCTGCCCTTCGAGCGCTTTGGCGTGTTTATATTGAACTGAGTGACAAGAGTTGATTTCCAATACACATCCTTCTAATTTTGGCACAATGCTCGTGCGAATGTGTTGGCAAATCTTTCAAACTTGAATAAATTACCTAATACAAGGGTTGTCGTTGCAGCTGAAAATGGATGGGTTGAAGTACTGGAGTTGGTGGCTTTATTTCTCCCCAAGAAGGGAACTTTTAGTGCTGAAAACTGGTAGGAGATTTCCGTAGATGTTATATCGTACTATGTTGAGATTTTTGGCGAAAAGAGAAGGGAAAATACACAGTAACGTTGATAAATAGAAGTTGTTGTATTCGCCGTAGGTTTCTGATTACTCAATTTCTTGTAACTGAAGCTTTGGGCAAGATTACCCTCGCAGATAGGAGATAGTCCGTCGGCTTGTCCTCTATTTGTGTGTCAGCTTTCACAAATGTGTTAGCGTTGCATTTAAAGGTTAAATTTTAGTGACCAGCTATTTGTGCAGCGAGTTCTACGGTCACGATTGACTTCATAAACTTGCAGATATAGAACTAGAGAGCTCTAAGGGTTATTTACCAAAGTTAGAGGAAAATCTGTCTTAAGTTTTGAAATTATTGACATTTTTTTGTAAAAATGCGGTTTTAATTATATGTCGATATCTCAAACGTTTTTATACCTATAAGAAAACAAATAACATTTTCGTAAAGTTTGAGCATTCTTTATTAAGAATGCCAAAAATCACAGAAATCAGTTTAATCATCATTCCACAGAAAATCACAGAAATCGGTTAAATAATTCCTGCCGAAAACCTGATTCAAAAACATAACCAACGTGCATATAAACTAGTAATAGTTGACACTACAGCTGCCCGTTCTGTATATTGTCGGTCAATAGTATTCTTGCTGGTTGTGTAGCTCTTTGAAATATACCGATTCATAATGAAGATTTTCACACATATTCCATACAATATGTGAGATAAATACAGGAAACGCAAGTCGCAGGGGCACCCAACGGCAATTTTCGGGAAAATATCTGTTCGGAAGACGATTTGAGATCTAGAATTTTCGGAGCATTTGTTGGAAAATTTCTTGCTTGCTTGCCTCTCCTAGGATTTTCGAACATCTACAAAATGGTATAATTACCCATTTTTAACGGATTTTGACCCTAAAAAAGGCCACCTAGAATTTTCGGGAGCCTTTTCCTGGCTGAAATTTTCGAGAAGGTAAGTTTCTATCCCTATAATTTTCGGATCACTAGACTTTCAGCTAGGAAATCCGAACAGATGAAAAGTTTTTAGGGGATAAAAATATGCCTATATCTACCGTTTGAATACTAAAATACGTTCAACAATGCTATGTTAAGTGGTTTTGAACCATATCCTCGTTGGGTGCCCCTGAAGTCGGACGCAAGGTTCCATGCACAGTTTCAGCTCGATTTACACAGCTTTGATCAAAACATTCTCAGTTTCGAGAATACTAGTTTATTCTAAACCATAAGAAAACATTTAATTAGAAGTTGAATTTTTCGCTATTTCTCTATCCATTTTTACATTCAGTTCATTTTATTTGCCGGAAAGTAAGCCTTACACAAAATAATGGACGTTTGATCGATTCACGCTAGCGCATTCTAGTCTTATTTGAAACTTTATAACAGAAGGACATCTGTGAGCAGAGAATAAGTCAGCACAGAATTTGATTGTCGGCGAATTTCTGTAAATGTCCATCACAGTCTGCTGGTGATAAGCTAGCCATTGTTCCCTTGTCTTGCTTGTTTGGGGCTGAGTCTTATTCCGGTCAAAGAGAGAGAGAAAGAGTGTGTGGCAAAGTTTCCAATATAAATCAAAGATTTGTGAACTCGTGTCTGGGAAACCTCCAAGTGTTTATATATACACAGTTAAACGCACCTTATAACCTCCCCTGCGCTTAAAGAGTGTCTTTTGGTCCATAACTTTCAAAATAACTGCTCCACAGAATGTCATTGCGTAACGCAAAAGAATATCGAAGTATGACTGCACAATAAATGGCACAAAATCTACCTGAGCTGTCCCTTCGGGATTTTCTGCCTTTACGTCATCCTAACCATTTCGTACCTGCGGGTGCAAACAATAGAATTGTCATCATTACCTACCGATTCTTCGCGGCCCCAGTTCGAGCAAATCGGGATTTTTTTTAGTATACTGACTGTATATTTGAACTGTAAGTACTGTCCTTAATATACGCGCGAGTTACTAGGGTGCCTCCTCGGGATTTCGCCTCTGGGCGAAATCCCTGCGGGGGCAATTACCCTGGGTACCGAACAGATTTTTTCTCGCGTGTGACGAGGAGCTTCGTCGGCCGCAGGCCGACACGTCTTCTGCCTTAGGCCGAAGACGACCGAAACCGGAAACCGCGCATGAAAAGTCTCTGGAACCCAGGGTAGGTTCAACAGCTACGGTGTCAGGAACAGTGTATTGGTCATATCCCATATTACCTTTCGGGATTGTCGCGCGCACATTTTTTCCGACAACCTTTCTCGAAATATCTGTATACACACAACTCACTAGCACGTATTACTGTAAGAAGAGCGAAAAAGTAGGATGGAAGTAACGAAGTACAAAATAATGACCAATATTAGTACATCAGTTTCTTGCTCTGAGAATCCTACTGTAGATTTCAGGAATTTATTCTCCTTTTTGATTTCTTCTTTACATTCCTTTTCTTGCTCAGTGAGTTTCTTCAGAACTTGATCGTATTTTTGGTTTCCATTTTCAAAAAAAGATGTAAGCTCGGCAACCACAACTTTTAAAGGAGCAAGCTTTTCGTCGAAAGTCGCTCGTAGTTCTCTCACAGTTATATGATTTGCAGACATATTAACACAAAAATGACAATTAGACAGACTTAATCAAGGCAGCTAGGTTGACTGATAAATTTGGTTGAATACTGATAACCTGAAATCGATTTGATCTACGGCATCGTTATGACACATCAAATACACTTTATCAAAACTGTTTGGGCTTCTTTTCATAAACTGTTGTGCCATGAAATACTGAAAACATCCCCCTCCGGTTAAGAATAGCTCTTTCCCTGAAGCAAGGAGAGCCATTTCAACAATGGCTACGGCTCCTTTGTCTTTAATTTTATAGAATTGCGGTTGTAAAAAGACCATATTGTCGAACAGTTCATTTAGATGCTTTAAGAGTAAAGAGGCTTTTCCACGTGCTTCTCTGGCCCATTTAGACTGCGAACCAAACTCTGTAAAATCTACAGCAACAAAAAGTTTATTGTAATTAGGATGACGCGCTCGAATGTTCTTAATCAGTGATGCCTGTTTCTTGATACAATTGACCAAAGTGGTAAAATTACCATTTGAACGTCTCAAAATCTGTTCCGTGCGAATGTGATGGGAAACGTAGTTTGAACCTAGAGTCTTATTCATGAAGTCATCAACAATTTCCAAAAGTTTCTCATTGAAAAATGCTACATGGTGCAGTGAAAGGGAAGAATGGATATCCATTGGAAGTGGAAAGAACGCTCGTTCTGGGACCTCCTGGTTTCCTCTCCACTCTTCGATCCCAACGCACTTATACTTCCTTTGACCACTTTGTCGAGAAAAGATTCAACCGATCGAAGCATTCCAGAATCCACGCGAACAGTTTTCGATATATTGAAGCCAAATCTAGTTTGAAGACCTTGAATTTCCTTGGTTTGTTGTCGGCGTGAAGCTTCTTCACCATAACTAAATTGTACCAGTAAATCCAACTTGTCTCGGCAAACACTCTGAAATGTTTCCCAGCTCACTGAAGTGCTGTATCCGTGTGAACGAAGCGTGTTGTTAAATGCGCTCAGATTGTAGTACAATGCCAGTGTTTGAGTGTCATCACTGCTCATTTTATAACCAAAAAACTTTGAATCATTTACAAAAGGTGCAACAACTTGGTGCCCACTGTAGCTTGCTAAAGCCGTGAGGGCGATCAGATTGTTAGTCGCCATTGAAAGTTGTTCCCAATATTTAAATGCTATGTAAAATTTCATGTTTCTACTTCGTCTTGAGCTGTCATCTTGTTGTACAAAATTGCCTCGATTCAATACCTCATTAATTTTTCTTGCAAAGTTAAATTGCCCTGCTTTTTGAGGTGGCTTCCACTGATAAACTATTACATGTAAAAGGGCTATGACAAATATCCCCATACACAAAGACTGAAACGGTCGCCGCGCGGAAAATTTCATCACGGTTTCCGTCGTTTATGCGTATTTTGTCACGTCAAAATACATATAGCTGTTTGCGCTCCTTATATCAGTAGTCATTTGAGGCGTTTCCCATGCCAATTGATTATTCAAAAAATACACAAGTAGTAGTCTCGAGTAACCGCTACTTTAGTGGAATAAAACTCAAATCTCTATTGCGGCATTCATAATGAGCAGTAAATATTTCACGCTAATATCTCTGTATTCGCAAGATTGAAAGATCTTTGAAGGGATAAATGGCTGTGAACGCATGTACATCAATTTAAGAAAACTGTCAAAAATTTCATAACTACCTCGCGTGTAAATTAACTGCTCATTACCCATGCAGAAACACAGATCGGCCAATACAGACATGAATCAGAATTCTACAACTTCAAGAATAGTCTCCAACGCAGCCGTTTTTACGCGAAGATTCCAGTTTGCCTTGTCCCTAGGGCCCATAATGCGTTTCGCGTCACGTGGTCCGAGCGAGTCTCTCCTATAGAGGATCTCTGAGGAAATTTGTATCGGGCGTGAAAACGCAAGGAGGTTAAAATTAATTTATGGTGAGCGTGGCTCGGTTTTTTTGAAGTGATTTTAGTGTATTTATCTGTGGTATGGTAGAATTGCGGAGGAACGAGCGCAGAAATTCCATTCTAGCTAATTATTTGTCACTACCCAGACCTGAGTAGTGCTTCTGATAGGTTAAAGAAAATTTCCCTCGCGGCACAACTAATCAGAAGCACCACGCAGATCCACAGTATGCTATTTCAACCTCGTTCCCAGGTTCTCTCTCATGGTATTTCTGAGCTTGTCCGCTCAGACGTCATTTTGCTGGGAACCAAGTGGTGGCGTCGCGAAATTTCGGCAATTTTTTCAGTCTACCATAAACCCTAACTGCTCTTCTCATATTTTTTTGTGGAAACAAACCTTCGTGAATGTCTCACTTTTCAAAACCAAGCTTCGAGCAAAAATCTTTCTTAAGAAAATGATCATGAGTTTTGTTACGTGGGATGAAAAAGGATTTTTATATCAATGGCTTCGCACTTACCCTCTATTTAAAAGAAGTTAATTGCCTATTGCCCTTTGTAATCTGTACAGGGAGCCCAGGCTAACAAACGGTTAAAATGCACATAAGTGTACAAAGCCCATAAAGGGACATCTCTGTGTTGTTTTCTTACTGTTTCCTGTTACGAGCGCCTTAGCGTGTTTATACTGAATTGAGTGACAAGAGCACATCCCCGGTACTTTCGGCGGCCGTTTACAACATGGTCACGTGACCAACTATGCGACCGACCGGATGGTGCAATTTGAAGCCGGTGTCACAGTGATATGTGTATCCCCGTGATATGTGTATCCCCCGTCACAGTGATATGTGTATCCCCGTGATATGTGTATCCCCATACACATATCCCTAGTGATATGTGTATCCCGGGTGGGGGTACAATAAACACTGATGCTCATCCACGACACAATAAGGAAATATCTTCTCTTGCTAAAGAAAATGCCGTCGATATCATCCAACATAACTAGTAACTCAACTAGGCTTAAGACAGGAATCAAACAACATGCAAAAGTGGAATATTGTGGCGCTCGCAGAAGGGATACACATATCACTGACCCGGCGCAGAGATCTGTGTATCCCCTGTTTTTTCTTCTCTTGCTAAAGGAAATATCGTCCATATAACTGATTTATCAGAACAACTAGTAATACAACTAGGTTTACAGGAATCAAACAACTTAAAAGGTGGATTATTATATTATGGTGCTTGCACGGGGGATACACATATCACCGGACCAGCGCAGAGATATGTGTATCCCCTCTCTATTTTTTGACTTTTCGGGTTATCCCTTGCTGAATGAAATTTTTTCAGTCATACTTATTTAACGCGACTAGAGACAGATGAATTTTTATCACGTTGGATAGGGAGAGGAGCGAGAACGAATGTTTACATCAACATTGCGGCCCACGAAGAAGTAAACTCGCCAGAGACAGCTTTGCGATTATTTTGTCTCGAATCGTTGCTCTTTTGTCGATTGTGTTGCTCGTAATCTTGAATCATTTGTAGTCCCTTTGCGACGATTCGCAAAATTCACAAAAACAACAAAAATAAAACCGACACTTGTTTGGAGGGGTGGGGGGTAGGGGATACACATTTCACTGGCAGCCATATTGGAGGCATACACATATCACTAGGGATATGTGTATGGGGATACACATATCACTGTGACACCGGCTCAGTACAGGCGGTGAATACTTTATGGTATTAACTGTTGACGAAGAAACCGCACGACTTAGTGTAGTTGTAAAAGTGGAATCATTTTTAAGAAGTCAAGTAAACTATTTTTTTTGGTTTAAAACCGTAAGCATTGAATGAGTGGTATAAAGAAGCGAGAGGATGGCGTCCGCGCGTAACCCGAGAAAGGTAAGCAACTGAGTATGATCCCTTGTCCCTTGCACGAAATGCAAGTGCTTGGATTGTTTTTATTAAATATATAAAACAGAAAGATCATCCACAAAAGAAACTGAAATTAAGGCATGTTTTAGAGTTGATTTGTCTTTAGGTTTGATGTGTCGTTGACGGCTATGAGCTTGACTCTGAATTGCGTGACTAGTATTCAGAGAAATAGAGACGTGAAGATCAGTTTCTTCAACTTTCTAGTGCCATTCATGAGTATATATTTGCGTGATACGTTTCTGTTATGTGCAGTGGTCTTGTCGAAAGGCACTGAAATTCAGGCATGTTTAAGTTTTCATTAACCGTTTGCTTTTCAACAGTAACTCACGCTAGATTGCGTGACTAGAAGTCTAGCAAGTGCGAAAACACCGTATTTACTCGCATAAGCGCCCGGCGCTTTTATTGGAAGGGGGCGCTTATTAAAGTTTCCTTTCAACGAACTGTAATTTTATTTTAGCTAAATCTTTTCAAAATAGAAAAACAAAAGCAAACATTATAAACGTTATCTATGTACATAAATGTTAATTCAGGGTTAAGTGTCTTGTCCATGATAACGGCCCATCTGCAGAGTATGGCAGAACTCGACGAGATCTCATGAGTGAAAGGCCATTTTTAGGCCCTTATTGCTTATATAATTATTTTTAAAAAAACTTACGCGTGCACCTGCCATACTCTGCAGTCTGGTATAACAGTGGTTGGTAATCAAGCCTGCCATAGTTAGTACCATTATACACTTAGCACTTAGGTATTGGTATGTATGTTTATAAAATATTAAGTATCTCATCATCCTCGTCAATGATATGCAGATCGTCCCCTTAATTATATTAGAAAGAAAGTGATGGAGAGGGGAGGGGTGCTTTTTTGAGGGAGGCACTTGCCTGATATTATGGACTAGGGGGTGGGGGAGGAAGGTACTTATTAGGAAGTGGGCACTTATTCGAGGAAATACAGTATGTTTCTGCAAAAACATGGAATCTGGAAACAGAGGCGGAAATGGAATAAGGAAACAAACTGCTTCATCATGAGAATAATAAGAAAGCAAAGTTTTGCATTTCATAATTTAATCCTTTAAAATTACCAGTCTGGTTCCAGTTTGATCAAGAGTGGTCAATCAGAAATAATTTAAGACAGAATTGTGACATCCATTATTTTTAACAGTCTGCCTTTGGTTAAATTGGCTTAATTGTTATTGTCTCTTGGGAAATCATGAGAAGAGGAGAAGTAGAATTACCATTTAAATACTATTAATTTCAGGGAACAAGTCAGGATGTTCATCTTTCTAAAGCTCTTTCCTATATTTTGCGACATGGTGCAGCTAAGGAGGGTCTTCCAATGTCAGAAGGTAATATTTCTTAAGTTTTCTTAATGTGGCTTTAATGATTTAATAGTTTAATTGTGAGAGGCTGAGTCAACAGTACTGAAAATGAACCAATTTTTTACGTGGAAGGTTTTGTCTTCGTTGATGGTCTTTTGAAACTGAGACAGTTCCAGCGATATTCCGAGGATGACATCAGAAGAGTTGTGGCTGATAATGATAAGAAACGCTTCACATTGAGAGATGACCCAGCAACAAACAGACTGCAAATTAGAGCTAATCAAGGGCATACTATCAAGGTGGGTGATCTCACTTTCTTAATTAACCCTTCAACTCCAATTAACCAGGATGCATATCCCCCATCCCAGGGGGTATACTCCAGAGTTTAGTTGATGGGGATCATGGTAGGCTTTTATTGGGTTTGAAATTTTTCATTTCCCAATTCTTTTGGGCAGCGAAATTTGGCAATTTTTGACTTTGGGGTGTCTTGATTTAAACATCTTGGGCTTCCATTCAGTATTCGAAACAATGTGCATTAATTGGTGCAGTACCATGAGCGTGCATTTCAGTTAACAGAGTATCCAGGTGTTATGAGAATTTGGGGTTAACCCTTTAAGTCCCAATATCCACATACAAATTCTCCAAACTGATCTCTATACATTTCCTTAAAGAATGAGTTGAGAGAATTTGATAAAAGATTAAAGTATTTTCTCTTAGGTGATCATTTTATTAATTCTCATAACCCAATCTCTTGACAATCTATGTCTATCGTTATGAGAAAATTGATGTTGGTCACTATTGGGACTTAAAGGGTTAATGCCTGGTCCAGGGATTTTTTAGCTTTCATTGGAAGCCCTAAGAATTTCTTTGAGTTAGAAACGCTGGAATTTCTTGTATTATGCAAATAATTATTTATGTATCTGGCTTACAAGAGTAAACAATATCATGAAAATAATTTGGAAGTAAATGTCCGAGAATTTTAAAATCTTGTGTTCGTTGAAAAAATCATTGGTACGAGTATCAAAAGAAACTTAAGATACTACTGTGATCATCTTTTTTTGCAAAACAATAATCCGACTTAAATAACACTGATATGTTGATCCCCACATTTAAATGTAATATATTACATAGGGGTAAACTAGACTATAGTACAAAGTGCATCCATCATGGATGGATGCATCAAGGATTAAAGCACAAAAATACTGTTTCTTTCACACATTCAATAGAATTAATATTGTTGCAGTGTGAATAGATACTTGTATATCAAGTGTTTGCCTTCTTCGGTGTGGCCTAAAAACCGTAAAATTCAATGTTTTAAAGTTAGTGGACAGTTTATTAGCTTGACACCATTGTGCTCATTTCAGAATTTAAGATTTTAAGAAGTAAATTAAAATCTTTGTGGGAAAAAAAAAATGTTTGTGTCAGTCAGCAAAAAGAGTAAAGTCCACGACCTTTGGCACATTGCACAGATCAGGGGGGCCTAGTATGGAGCCCTGAGGCACCTGACACTTTATTTTGCAAAACTCTGAACTGATACCATTAAATTCCACATTTTAATGTTGCTGTTTAGGTGGATGATTTGGAGCTGAACCCCATAACAGACTATTCAGAGGCACCTGTAGTTGTGCACGGCACTTATCACGAGTGTTGGCCTTACATAAAAGCCCAGGTAAGTGAAGTGGTAATGTAGCAAAGAGTGATTTCCAAGTTTGCCAAATTGAGGTCAACTGCAAAATCTTGCCTGTTAAATGAGTTTAATATGTGTAAGAATATAAAATCATTATTTTCATTTCTAATGTCTTCACATTGATTGCATGTCTTTTCGAATGTCTAAGACAAATTAGTTATGTCAGTCCTATTATATTATTTTTCAAGAATGAGTCCCTGGGAGATTTGCATGATAAAATAAGGGCAATTAAAAATGTATCTTTAAATAGCTGCATGGGTTTTTTTAAGAGGTAATACTAACAGCATTTAAGTCTAATTTGCTCACACACCTGTCCAATTTTTGTCATTTAAAACTTGACTTAAAAGTACAGCCATTATGTAACCTAAGAGTTCTGTTGCAGTTAATTTTTTATCTCAGGTAATAAAATTATTTTTATTTTTCTTTTGTTTCAACTTCATTAGCATACATTGCCATACCCAAAAACAAAAGAAAAACATAAATCACCTGAAATAAAAAATTAACTACATAGGTTCTACCAAAGCTTTTTATACTCCTCTTCCTTAAGCTTGGCTCCTTTCTTTCAATTCTCCTTCTCCGTACACGCTTCTTTCACAGCACTGAGTGATTTATAAAATAATGTTTTGGACTGATAAGAACACTTAATGTGTTTCACCTTAGCCTTTTCCTAGTTTAAGTGGCTCAATTTTTTTGACAATTTAATGTTTTTCTCAAAAATCTAGCTAGATCTGTTCATGATCATGTAACAATTAATTAACCTGTGTGCACTACAAGTGGTGAAGTATACGTCTGTACTAAATTGCCACAATTTCGAGCCTGATTTTATTATTTTCTTAACAAACCAAATTTCTTTGACATATCACGACCAATAACTTTTCTAGGCTTCAGTTAAATGCAAGAAAGCTTTCCAAACGTCCTTGCATAAGGTATAGGGGATGGTTTGAATTTTTATACTGACAATCTTAAAATAATTTGGTCATCTGCCAGGGCTTGTCAAGGATGAGCAGAAACCACATTCATTTTGCACCAGGGGAGCCTGGAGAAGAAGGAGTCATCAGTGGTCAGTTTCACCTTTTTAACTAGTAGTGGATACATGTACGCACATTCGATCATGCTCCATGGAAAATTTTCCTATACAAGTTTTAACTGTAAATTGTCATTGTAACATGAAGGGAGCCTTATACGTGACTCTTGAACTACTCTGAAATTCTCCTTTAGTTTCACAAGCAAAGACAAAATGAGGAGAGTTTTTAAAGGAGTTCATCAAAAGTCACTTGAAGTTTATTCCTCTAAACTCCGGCCCTTCTTTGATAAAAGATTGATATGGTCAGGCAGACTTTGAATCCTCTCCACTTTTCTTATATTATATTATCAATAAAGTTAATACTCCCTAACCTAACCCTTTACGTCCCAGTATCAACATGCAAATTCTCCAGACAGACCTCCATTCATTTCCTTGAGGAATTAAACTTAAGAGAATTTGATGAGAGATCAAATCTTTTTCCCTTTGGTGATCATTTTATCAAGTCTCTGAACTCTTTCTCTTGATAATATATTAATACTGTTAGGGGGAAATTGATGTTGGTCAGTTCCCCCCAAACCCCCCACAGATATGATATTTCTGAGGGGGTGACATAAATGATAACTTTTCTGAAGGGGTCAATACTAAGAGTAAAGAGGGAGGTTTTTCTAAAGGGGATTATGTCAATTTCTGATGGGTGGAATTACCAAGAATAAATTCCTCAAGGGATAAGGGGAATAACATGGCCACAAATTCTGAAGGGTATGCAACAAAAATAATACTTCTTTGTGGGCCTCTAAGAATAGTTTTTTTTAAAGGGATTAATAGAATTTCGCCTGGAAACATTTTCTGAAGACCTCATGTTTGTTTGGTTATTGAATGAATGGCCGAAAGAGATGCAGTCAAACCTCTGTGTACATTCTCTTGTATGCTTACAGCCAGTCACAAGCAACCACCTATCCAAAAAAGCCAAAACTTAAGACAAATTCTGTTTTCCAGGCCACATCACCATTGTTGGGGATCACTCTCTTGTGAGTGACCACTCCCTGTGGGCAACTGCTGAATTTTGGCATGGGGTGGTTATAAAATGAAATTGCAGGAAATACTCATAAACAAAGCTCATTTTGATTTTCTTAGGGATGCGGAAAAGCTGTGAAATAATAATCTTCATAAATCTTCAAAAGGCTCTTAGTGGTAAGAAAACTAAGGCATAAGCCAAATGTGGAACTTTTCATGAGAAAAACCAAACTTAGTGAGTTAAGTTCATGAAAAGTTCAACATCTGGCCCAGTTAAGTTCGTCTGAATGAGTCTGGATCGTCCAACACGTTCTATCCATCTGCTTCAGACACATAGACATCTGAAAATAATCTTTCGGACAAATGTTGATCCTCTCATTCGGCGAACTAAACTAATAAATTAAAAATTTGTAAGATAATGTATATTTTGCCTTGTGCAGGAGAAAGTTTATTACTGGCTGGCTAAAATTGCTTTTCGGCCTTATATTCAGTTGATTGGTTCAACCCGTCCTAAGTTTGACCCATGCCAGCCTAGACCTAAAATGCACTTTGCAACAAACATACATAAATTGTTAAGCTGGGAGTTTTTAATCTTGTGTAGTCACAGGTGGCCCAAGCTCAAAATGACCATTGGCACTGTTGCATAATGTTTGAAATATCTAACAATTATTCTGCGAGCCCCAATGGACTATTGACTCATAGGCCATGAGGGAGAGAGGAATAATTTTTGTTATAGTAAAATGCAACTAGTTGGTCAAAAATATCGAGAAAAAACAACTTTAGCTAGCAAATCGCGATTCAGCTGCCATTGTTTTGGTTTTCAAAGCTGGCGCTTTACGCTACTAGTGGACTATAACATATAGCCTAGTATAGTAGTAGTTCAACTATTAGAACGCAGCATTGATAATAGACCACTAGTTGGACTTTACTAAAAGGATTTGTATGGTGAAAAAAAAAAATTGATTTTTCTGTAACATACGATTGTGGAAGGATTTTTAAAGTTGTGTGTTTCCTCTTTCCTGTGTGGTTCCTGAGCCAGTTTATGGCTATTGTATGTGTTTTAAATGAGCTGGTGTTTTCTCTCTTTTATAAAGCAAATGTTATGCAACAATGCCAATGGTCATATTTTTGGGCCATCTGTTGTTGTTTTTTTTTATCGACACTTACATATGTATAAGATCTCTTCCAACCTCATATGCTACAAATGGCAAATTAAATATGACACTAATTATTTTCAACTTATATGTACTTGCACATACCGTATAAAAAATAATGATATTATAAATCATGCATGCACAATCTGACAATAGATTCATTTTTTCCTCAGAAAGGAGATTGCAGTTTCCTGGCTTTGTGAAAAGAGCAATCACTAGATGGCATAATAAAAAAAAAACTAACATTACTTACATCACAATACCAAGAAATATCCTATCCTATAACAGACTATTTTATAGATAGGAAGAGTATTGTTTCTAACAATTTTTTCCTCCTCTACCATTTCAAAGTTTCATTAATACTTCATACCAACAGCACAGTTTGTAAATAAATTATCTTACTTTTCAGATGGCTTCAAATTCTACAGATCATCTAACAATGTGTTACTTTGTCCTGGAAATGAGGATGGCTTCCTTCCTCCTTGCTATTTTCAGCGAGTTATGCAGACTCGGCCAAGTAAGCATTTCCAGATTTTTTTGTTCGCTGAATTTAGCTCAGTGTGAGCTTATGTTCATTGTGTATCTTCCTATCCCCTGGAGCAACTCCCTCTCTATTGCTTCATGGAGGGATGGCCGGGATGAAGGAAGACCCTTGTGATGAGGTTGTATGGCTCTTTCACCTCTTGAATATCAAGAATACGAAAAAGTAGTGGCATTATTTTGACTTTGAACTAATTGTTCCAATCGTCTCTAACAGTTTAAATCTAATTCTTTTCTTACCATAATCTTTCAACAATAATGATTTTGACAACCGTTTGACTTTCTCTGGGTCCTATTTTCTTACCAAAGAAATTAAAATCTAAAAATCTGTTTTTTACCCTACTCCTCAACCTGTTTGGTTGGTGCTGAATGGTAACTCCAGAAACCCTGTTTCTCTCTCTTTTAGGAAAGGAACTGCTTTTCTCCACAGAATGACCAGGCTAAAAAACTTCAGGATAATGTCACTTCTAATTTACTGAGATAAACATTCTGTGCCCTTCTGTGATAAATATAATGTCCTAACTTGTCCCGATGTGCATCCCTATCATCCTATCATTTATTTACAAACTGTGAAATAAATAAAATTTTTATAACAGGTTTTGAATCCTTGTTAGTGACCCAGTGCAGTGGTTGGGATTCCTGTATTGGCAAAGTTTTGTTTCCACAGGAACTCTGTTACGTAAGAACTACCATCACCACAGCTCTTTGAACAAGTGTAGATTGCTAATGTTCCCCAGTCCACACTTTCTTCAAAACTGTCCACTTGCATATGGTTTAACAACTGAGGCATCACCTTAACCAAAAAATATAAAAAATTTTCACACAAATTTTAGTAATGTTCATAATTATAATGTTGCATACTGAAACTTGGCAATTAAGTTATTCGTCACAATAATGATAATGAAACTTAGAATCTTCTCTCAGTCTGGTAGGGTGGGCTTAACAACTTATGAGTCGTCAAGGAAAACCAAACCTCTTACATTTGTAATAGTTATTATTAACAATAATGAAGTTGGTTGAACAAACGTTTCCTCTTCATATGTTTTGTTAATTAATAATACATAAAAAATAAAGCACTTAAAATAATGTCATAATAAATAATGACGTAATACTAGTACATACAGCTGTACACTTAGTGTCCCTCATCAACCAAATCCCGATCTACATGTACTTGGAAATGAAATTTTCAGTGATCAGCATGAGGGGAAGGTGAGAGAAAATGCAGATAGAAACCTAATGAATAATGGAGCGAGGATGTGCATTATCAACAAATTCAACCCAAATCCATCATTTCAAACACTGACAGCATCAGCTAAGTGCTCTTACCACTATGCTATACTTTTGCTGCCCTGTATTGTAGCCAAAGCAAAAAAAACCCACACACAAACAGAGCCCTAATCCTAGCCAAAGGACATACGTGGTTCCTGAGTAATCCTTTAGTTCAGTAAGTACTGAGAAACAAGTTCAAGGGGTGAATGGGGTTATTTACTTGTAATCAACTTTTATTTATTAATCTAAATGAAAGAGTCTTAACTGCTCAATACATTAACTGAGAAACAAGGTTAGTAAAATAATAATATATGTGTGAATTGAATCTGGTTTAAAAGAACACAGAAGGTCCACAAAGCTGAATGCAGCATCAGCCAGCTGTAATGAGTGGAATGTTTATTGCTAAATTATACAGTCGTACAATGTGAATAATGATTTTCAGTTCCCTGAGTGCATTTTAACAGTGAAAAAAACAATTCTCACTATTTTACATCATCTTGAAGCACTCCTAAGTTGTCTATTATAAATTTAGGTGCATGTACTGTACCTGAAATTCAAACATCCTTTCAGATCCACAGGTTGCACAAGGTGGGATGTCACTTTTACCTGGTTGAGCCTCATCAGACACCCACAAGGGCTCTCCATTCTTGTGATAGCGCAAAACCTGAAATGTGACAAGTCAGGTGTTAGTGCTATCATAAGACAATATTAAAATAAGACAACTATCAAGACGCTAGGCACGATATGACCACAAGCTGTAACTGTTAAAAATGCTCATAAATATTATACAATATGTACTACTATAAATTTAAACTTGTGCAGATCCCTTTCTCATTAAAAAGGAAAAATGTTACAATAGAGATCACATACATACAAGGCACATTAAAATAGGAGGAAGAGGTACATTTTGCATGAAAAACAGATAAGCTTCCCTAACATCATTCGAAAAAAAAAAAAATTGAAACCAAATAAAAGGGTCAACATTTATAGATGTAAATTACATGTAAATTAGTGGCATGGTCATGACAACAATTTAAGGTACATGTATAAAAGAATGACCAGTTATCATTACCTTTCTGAATATTCTTACAGAGCTTGCATAGCAATGTAGTTAGTAGGAATTGTAATCCGGAGGCCTTGAGTCCAATCCCCACCCTAACCACCAGCTGGATTTGTTCTCAGTAGTCCTGAGGTCTACTCCTTGGTTACTCTTGTAATAATTAGTCAACTGGTTTGCCTCCGGCCAATTTTGGATTCTTAACCTTGTGACTCATAATAGCACATAATGGTTTACCAGTACTGAACAGTGTATTTGTGTTACCCCTAGAGCACACTGTATGCATTTATTATTGTTCCTCAGTTGAACCGAGGGGAAAATATTTCCTGACACATACACACCTGCTTTGGTTCTCTGGAAATTCTCTTTTTGAATATTCTAAATTGTTTGTCAGCAAGCAAAGCTTCTTTCCCAAGGGTGGCCAAGGACTCCAATTCCTTGTCATCACCATTTATTTCACTTAGAAGATCATTTTCTTGTACAAACTGCTTAAATTCATCTAATCTTTCTTCCTCACTTCTCTCATTACCATCACTCTCATCATCGTCTGGTTCTGTTTCAGTGACCAGTTCATATTCAGGAAAGAGGACTTTGCTTTTTGAGTTATTATAAGAACTATTACCTGAAAAATAAAAGCACAAGCGTATTTAGAAATTATGTTTAGCTGTACATCAGTTTTCTCCACCCAACCATCTTCTGTAGCTCTAACCTTCAAATTCATGACAAGCAGCGTGCAAAGAAAGTAGTGTCCGATAGCCCGGGGCTAGTGGATTTTGCTATCGGGCTAGTGAAATCTGTTTTTAACTTGCCCGAAGGGCAAGTGATGTTCTTTGAGGAATTCGAATAACAGAAGAAGTGTGAAATCAATTCTGCTAGACGAAAGGCTTTTCGGGCTAGCTGAAATGACGTCTGGGCTAGTAAATGCTAGCTTCAGCTTGCCCGAATGGCAAGCTGTAAAAATGATTTTCTTTGCACCCTGTGACAAGGCATTCCTTTTTGTGAATGGGGAAGTTGGAGAACTTTTGTGTGAAGTTGACTATTGAGCTTGCCAAAAAAGAAAGCGTAATTATTGCACTTTAAGAAAATGGAAATTGAAAACATGGACACTGCATTTAACCTATACCCAGGACACTTAGAA